TGTTACCCAGACTGGAGTGCAATGGTGCGATCTCGGCTCACCGCAACCTCCGCCTCCTGGGTTCAAGCAATTCTCCTGCCTCAGCCTCCTGAGTAGCTGGGATTACAGGCTCACCGCAACCTCCACCTCCTGGGTTCAAGCAATTCTCCTGCCTCAGCCTCCTGAGTAGCTGGGATTACAGGCATGTGCCACCATGCCCAGCTAATTTTTTGCATTTTTAGTAGAGACGGGGTTTCACCATGTTGACCAGGATGGTCTCGATCTCTCAACCTCGTGATCCACCCACCTCGGCCTCCCAAAGTGCTGGGATTACAGGCTTGAGCCACCGCGCCTGGCAGGAGAATCTCCTGAAGCCAGGAGGTGAAGTTGCTGTGAGTCAAGATTGAGCCATTGTACTCCAGCCTGGGCAACAAGAGCAAAAACTCCATCTCAGGAAAAAAAAAAAAAAAAAAAAAAAGGTTTTGTGTTATTTTGCCCAGCTAATGTAGGCATTCTGACTGAGCACATTAAGGTAGGCTAAGCTAAGCTATGATGTTCAGTAGGTTAGGTATATTAAATGCTTTTTTTTTTTTTTTTTTTTTTTTTTTCTGAGACAGAGTCTCACTCTGTCACCAAGGCCGGAATGCAGTGGAATGATCATGGCTTACTACGGCCTTGACCTCCTGGGCTCAAGCGATCCTCCCACCTCAGTCCCCTAAGTAGCTGGAACTACAGGTGTGTGCCGCCATGCCTGTATGATTTTTGTATTTTTCGTGGAGATGGGGTTTCACCATGATGCCCAGGCTGATCGTCACCTCAGCCTTCCAAAGTGCTGGGATTACAGGCGTGAGCCACCACACCTGCCCATTAAATGCACTTTCAACTTAAGATATTTTCGACTTAAGCAATGTGTTTATCAGGATGTAGCCCCATCATAAGTCAGGGAGCATCTATACTTTACTCCCTACAAATCTCTCTGGATTCTGACAACAGCAGCCTCTACCAATGACCACTTTTCCCATAGGGGCAGCGGAGTCACCATGGGTTGTGAAGGGGTCTAGAAAATGCCACTGTGGCATGAAAATTATTTTGAGCAGAAGGCATTTGAGAATGGGCCTTTTTCTTTCTTGCTTGCTGGAAAGCAGTGGTGTGATCATGACTTACTGCAGCCTCGACCTCCTGGTGCTCAAGTGATCCTCTCGCCTCAGCCTCCTAAGGCTAGGACTATAGGTGCATGCCCCCTCCTGGCTACTCTTTTGTTGCTGTTGTTGTTGATGTTTGTTTTTCAGACACAGGGTTTCACCATGCTGCCCAGGCTAGATGAGAACAGCCTCTTTTCTGAACTCTGTCTGCCTAAATGCAGAACCCTGCAAAAGAGCTCCCTTGTCATAAATCCCCTTCCCAAGAGTTTCTCAGAACCAGGGAAAATGGACTCATTGTTGAAGAGGAGAAAGGTCAGCAGCACACCTACGCAGTCAGGTCAGCCAGGCGTGGTGGTTCACGCCTATAATCCCAGCACTTTGGGAGGCTGAGGCGGGCAGATCACGAGATCAGGGGTTTGAGACCAGGCTGAGCAACATAGTGAAACCCCGTCTCTACTTAAAAATACAAAATTTAGCCAGGGCGTGGTGGTGCACCCCCATAATTCCAGCTACTTGGGAGGCTGAGGCAGGAGAGTCGCTTGAACCCGGGAGGCAGAGGTTGTCGTGAGCCGAGATCATGCCATGGCACTCCAGCCTGGCGACAGAGCAAGACTCCGTCTCAAAACAAAACACAAAACAGGTCATAAAACTATCAAATCTCCCATCTTTTCTCCTAAGGGCCCGTTGATCTTTCCTAAAAATTACTTTCCTGGGAGTGCCCTTTCTCCTCCTCCTCTTCTTCTGTTGACATGGTACATAATCCTCAAATTCTAACTTCCTTCTAGAGCCACATTTTTACAGTGAACTCCCCTACATTCTGAATAAAAATCTGTTGTTTCTCTTTTATCAGTTTAATCCTCAGGCCTTCAACTACTCAACTTAAAAGGACAGAGGAAGCCGGGCGCGGTGGCTCAAGCCTGTAATCCCAGCACTTTGGGAGGCCGAGGCGGGTGGATCACGAGGTCAAGAGATCGAGACCATCCCGGTCAACATAGTGAAACCCCGTCTCTACTAAAAATACAAAAAATTAGCTGGGCATGGTGGCACGTGCCTGTAATCCCAGCTACTCAGGAGGCTGAGGCAGGAGAATTGCCTGAACCCAGGAGGCGGAGGTTGCGATGAGCCAAGATCGCGCCATTGCACTCCAGCCTGGGTAACAAGAGCGAAACTCTGTCTCAAAAAAAAAAAAAAAAAAAAAAGAGGACAGAGGAAAAGTGTTTCCTCCATCAACACTTGGAACCAGTTTAATCATATCAGCAACTATCTTCCCCCCAGCTCCCTTCCTTTTTTGTTTTCTCCATGTGAGGCTAAAAATGTTTATGAAAAAATATTAACAACTTTATTTTAAAGCATTTTATGTTCCTGGATGAAAATACTCAATATTGGAAAGAAACTAAAATTTCAGCTGGGCACAGTGGCTCATGCCTGTAATCTCAGCACTTTGGAGGCCGAAGCAGGATTGCTTGAGGCCAGGAGTTCAAGACCAGCCTGGGCAACATGGTGAGACCCACCCCCCTTCATCTCTACAAAAATCTTAAAAATTAGTTAGGCGTGGTAGCACACACCTGTGGTCCCAGTTACTCTAGAGGCTGAGATGGGAAAATCACCTGAGCACAGAAGGATGAGGCTGCAGTGAGCTGAGAGTGAGACCCTGTCTCAAACAAAACAAAATAAAATCATAAAATTTCCTCAACTTAATTTTTTTTTTTGTTTTGTTTTTGTTTTTGTTTTGTTTTGTTTGAGACGGAGTTTTGCTCTTGTTACCCAGGCTGGAGTGCAATGGCTCGATCTCGGCTCACCGCAACCTCCGCCTCCTGGGTTCAGGCAATTCTCCTGCCTCAGCCTCCTGAGTGGCTGGGATTACAGGCACGTGCCACCATGCCCAGCTAATTTTTTGTATTTTTAGTTGAGACGGGGTTTCACTATGTTGACCGGGATGGTCTCGATCTCTTGACCTCGTGATCCACCCGCCTCGGCCTCCCAAAGTGCTGGGATTACAGGCTTGAGCCACCGCGCCCGGCTTAATTTTTTTTTTTTTTTTTTAACACAGGGTCTTGCTTTGTTGCCCAGGCTGGAGTACAGTGGAGAAATCTTGGCTCACTGCAACCTCCGCCTTCCGGGTTCAAGTGGTTCTCCTACCTCAGCTCCCCAAGTACCTGGAACTATGGGCATGTACCACCATGCCCAGCTCATTTTTACATTTTTAGTAGAGAAAGCATTTCACCATGGTGGCCAGGCTGGTCTTGAACTCCTGAGCTCAGTGCTGGGATTACAGGCATGAGCCACCATGCTTGGCCCAGAAGTATGTAGTCCCATTTGTTTATTTTTGCTTTTGTTGCCTGTGCTTCTGGTGTCTTATCCAAAAAATCATTGTCAAGGCCAATGTCGTGTCATAGTTCTCCTGCATTTTCTTCTCAGAGTTTTATGGTTTCAGGTCTTACATTTAGGTCTTTAATCCATTTTGAGTTTCTTTTTGTGTGTGCTATAAGATAAGGGTCCAATTCCACTCTTTAGCATGTGAATATTCAATTTTCCCAGCACCATTTATTGAAAAGACTAGCCTTTCCCCATGGTGTCTTCTTGGTGCCCTTGTTGAAACTTAGTTGGCTGTACAGGCTTGGGTTTCTTTCTGGGCTTTGTATTCTCCCTTTCCTGTTCTAAATTCTTAGACATTGGGTATCCTTGGAGGCTGAGTGTCCAGCCTGCCACCTCTCCTTCTGTGGTCATTTCACAGGTTTTCTCTGAATGGGGAGAGCTCATGTAACATGATGGAAATCTGGTTATCTGTTTGACACATTTAGTACAGGACAGCATATTCTACCAAGATATGGTTCACATCATTTTGCTGTGACTTACAAGGGGGTGTTCTAAGTACAACCATAGCTCACCTCCAAACTCCCGAGCCCTTGCATCCTAAGCCCAACATCCTGGAGGGCACGTTTGGCTCAGTTCTGGTGGCTGAATGTGGAATCTTAGGTCCAAAATCTGAATTAACTCCAAAATGTAACCTGAATATAACAGGCACTACACACAAACAAGCAAGCTAGCATCTAACTCAAAAAGCCTCACACACGCAGTGAGACTTCCTAAAACTCCCCTTGACTCATTCTCTCCCCAACCCCACACCGCAGTCGCTGCTCCAGTCTCTCTTTCTCACTTTCCTGGGCTCTCCCTTCTCATCCCCCCTCTTCTCTTGCCTCTCAAAAGATTCAGATTCAGCACTTTCCAGCTGTGTGACCTTGAACAAGTTGCTCAACCCCTCTTTCCCTACCTGTAAAACAGAGAGGATAACAGGACAGACCACACAGGTTTGCTGTAGGATTAAATGAGATCATGTGTATAAGGCCCCTGGCATCTAGGAAGTGCTAAACACTGTCAATTCTTTATATACATGGATGTTTTGTGTTCCTTCTTTCACACTTCTGAAATTTAAGGTCATGGAACTGAAATATCAAGTATAAACTGAACTTTCAGGGGGTAGATTATAGACTGCGCTGAAGGCAGAAAGGGGTTGGGGTGGGAGGGGAGCTTTGGTCTCCTGTGGGGGACTTTCATTCATTCCCCAACTGGGGAAAGACCCCAGGCCCAACAGTGTCCTTTCCTGCTTCCTCCCTCATTTCACCTCCCACCTGCCAGAAACCTGTACCATGCCCACCCCAGCCCAGCCCACCCAGGCCCCAACTCTGTGGGCTGCAAACATTGAAAGCTCTTTATTTCAATGATGGTGCATCACTGCTTCCTCCTTCCCTCCACTCATGGCGGAGGCTCCAGGGAACAAGGCGGAACCCAGAGCTCTGGGTAGGGAGGAGAGCAGGTGGAAGAGGAGGAAGCAGTAAGAAAGAGGCAGCACTAGAAGAACATTCTGTGGGCCAACATCTTCTATGCAACGTTCTGACAAAAGCCATAGGTGATGCCAAGCCATTTCTCTTTCTTAGGATACACACAAGTCAGGTTCCACTGGCAGGGACACTCTCTATATTGGCCAAAGTATGCCTGGGAAAGACAGGACTCTGACGACCTTGGAGGCAGCTCTTCGTTTAGCCCCTAAGCCCAGCCCAGCCCAACTCCAGGGCCCAGGCGCTTGCCCACAGCCAGGAGCCGGGGATAAAGGATAGCTTGCCAGCTGCTCAGAGTGGTGCCTCTGGCTGCCTTCTCTAGGCTGGCGCCTGGATTGCTCAGTGCCCTCCCAGCTCCAGTCTTTGTCACCCTGCCTGCCACTGACCCATCTGGCTGTCCTAAGTCCATGAACACATCATGGTGGGGCCTCTGAGTCTTGTCTTTAAATCCTTCTATGGGCAAATCAACTCCCTCCCCTACACACCCAGCTCAGAGGTTGCCTCTGCCCATCCTCTACCAGGAACACCTGGGCCACAGCAGAGCTCCTGGGCTGAATGAAGACGGGGTCCGGGGCAGAGGCCGGACCTAGCTGTGCCCATTTACTGTACTACTTTCGGGGTTTGCTGAGAGGACCCCTGGAGAATGAGAACCCACATTAGAGAGTGAAGCATCGCCTTTCAGCCCCGTCCAAGATTCCAAGCCCCTAGGGTGGGCTTCCATATTGGTTCCGTCCACAGGCTCCCCCAGAAGGCTTGGAGGTGCAGTCCCACGGGGGAATTCCAGGCTCCAGGGCACTTCCCCCTACCTACGCTTCTTCCCTCCCCAGGAATCTGGGCCCGCCCTGGCTTCCCCTTCCCCTCGATCCCCTCTGGCTCTCCCTCGGCGTCCCGATACTCACCTGCACTTGACACAAGCTGCCCTCGGACCCCTTCTCCGTGCAGTGCGCCTCGCAGGTTTTTGGAGCCTGGCGGCAGCACCCAGACTTGCAATCCTGATTCCGATAGCAAAACTCCTTGAGGTCCTGCAGGGAGGGACACGGCCTCACCAGGCTCCACTGCCCGCCTTCCGCCCAAGCTGCCCATTCCCGGGCTTTCTCCCTACGGGGTTCCTCCCCAGACTGCATTCCTACCAACACCTCTGGCTCCTGCCAGGTAGGGCGGTCTCTACCTGGAGGCCGGGGTAAGTCTGTGCAGACAGACGGTGCCTGGAGAGGACTGAACAGTTGTTTAAAAGTTTTCTCTTTGTGCCCTCAATATAGGTTGCTTCTCCTAAACAGCAGGGTGCTCTAGACTTCCCAATCTCTCTCTTGCACTTTTCTGCTGCAGAGCCTTCTCTCCCGAAAACTCATGCTTTCACCTGTGATTGATGGTCACCTACATGCATTCCCCGCCCCCCACACTCCCACCCACACACACATCAATGACCTCCACCCAGTATTGGGCCTTAGGACATTAATTAACATTATTGATCACAGCCACCCATAATCTCTCTGTCTGACAATTTCAATAGTCATTCAACAGGCAAATACTGAACAGTGCCAGGCACCGGGAATGCAGCTGGAAACAGCTGGAAACAACAAAAACAGAAGTCCCTGTCCACCTGCAGCTGACATTCTGGAGCAGTACTGTCCAGCAGAGCTTTCTGCAGTGATGAAAACGTGCTTTTTCTGCTCAGTCCAATAGCCACTAGCCACTACTGAGCACTTGAAATGCGGTAGTGCAACTAGGAGCTGAATTTAAATTTTTTTTTTTTTTTTTTTTTTTTTTGAGACAGAGTCTCTCTCTGTCACCCAGGCTGGAGTGCTGGAGTGCAGTGGCCCAGTCTCAGCTCACTGCAACCTCCACCTCCCGGGTTCAAGTGATTCTCTTCCTCAGCTTCCCAAGTAGCTGGGATTACAGGTGTGTGCCACCATGCCTGGCTAATTTTTGTATTTTTAATAAAGACAGGGTTTTGCCATGCTGTCCAGGCTGGTCTTGAACTCCTGACCTCAGATGATCTACTGTCTTGCTCGGCCTCCCAAAGTGCTAGAATTTTTTTTTTTTTTTTGGACAAGGTCTCACTCTGTCACCCAGGCTGGAGTGCAGTGGTACAGTTAGAGCCTCAATCTCTGTGTTCAAGCAATCCTCCTGCCTTAGCCTCCCATGTAGCTGGGACCACACACACACACCACCATGCCCAGCTAATTTTTAATTTTTTTTTGTAGCTATGTTACAGGCAGGCCTGCGTTGGGTAGTAGAGGGCTCTCCCCCACCCACTAAGAATGTCAGGTGATGGTTCAACAATGATCTCATTACCTCTCTAAAAATGATAATTTGGCAGCTAGGCTCCAAGGAGAGACAATCTCCTAATGGTCCACAGATGTTAACATTAAAGTGTTCATTGAATGCAGGGGCAGGGAGAAGCAAAAAGGGCTTCCAATAAAATCGCAGGTGTTGGGCGAGTGAGCCCGGGAATGCATATTAAGAAAAAGAAGGCCGGGCACGGTGGCTCAAGCCTGTAATCCCAGCACTTTGGGAGGCCGAGGCGGGTGGATCACAAGGTCAAGAGATCGAGACCATCCTGGTCAACATGGTGAAACCCCATCTCTACTAAAAATACAAAAAATTAGCTAAGCATGGTGGCACGTGCCTGTAATCCCAGCTACTCAGGAGGCTGAGGCAGGAGAATTGCCTGAACCCAGGAGGCAGAGGTTGCGGTGAGCCGAGATCGCGCCATTGCACTCCAGCCTGGGTAACAAAAGTGAAACTCCGTCTCAAAAAAAGAAAAAAAAAAAAAAAAAAGAAAAAGAAATGGAGGAGTATGAACTTCTGGGGGCACACTTCACCAGAAAAGGGAAGAAAGCCTCGGATGGGCATGCATACAACTTCCTAAACACCCTGAGTGTGCTCACTTCCCAAGGGTAACGACGCTGCACATGAGGGCAGCCCACCCTAAGGGAAGAATCAGGAGTGAGAGACACATGCCGCTGGAGTGGGGCCAGGCTGTAAAGGGCTAGGACCAAAGTTAAAACACTGCACTTGTTCTTCAAGTTGCCCACTTGGGACTCTTCCAGGTGTACTTTTCATTTTTTCTTTTTTTTTTTTTTTTTGAGATGGAGTTTCGCTCTTGTTACCCAGGCTGGAGTGCAATGGCGCAATCTCGGCTCACCGCAAAGTCTGCCTCCTGGGTTCAAGCAATTCTCCTGCCTCAGCCTCCTGAGTAGCTGGGATTACCGGCACACGCCACCATGCCCAGCTAATTTTTTGTGTTTTTGGTAGAAATGGGGTTTCACCATATTGACCAGGATGGTCTCGATCTCTCGACCTCGTGATCCACCCGCCTCAGCCTCCCAAAGTGCTGGGATTACAAGCTTGAGCCACAGCGCCTGGCGTGTACCTTTCATTCTTTCCTGCTCTAAAGCTATTTAATAAACTTCCACTCCTGCTCTGCAACTTGCCTCAGTCACTTTTTCTGTCTTATGCCCCTCAGTCGAATTCTTTCTTCTGAGGAGGCAAGCACTCAGGTTGCTGCAAATGCATACAGATTCTCTGCCAGTAACCCAGATGCCTTCTACCAGTAACAGAGACAGGACTCTCATTTTGTTGCCCAGGTTGGTCTTGAGCCCCTGTGCTCAAACAATCCTCCCACCTTGGCCTCCCAAAATGTTGGGATTACAGCCATGAACCACCACACCTGGCCTGAATTTTAAATTTTGTTGAATTTTAATCAATTTAAATCTAAGTAACTACATGTGGCTAGTACAAACTAAAAATAAAATTTGAAGCCTCCTACCACCAATCTGCAACTATCTGAATGGACTCCCTCCTTGGCCAGCACACTCTAAAATTTAACCTGAAAGACTGGTTCAGGCCATGACAGGAAGTGGGGGTTGGACATGCCTCATTAATACTCTCCACCATTAACATTAACAAAGACCTTAAGTCTAATGAGAAACATGAACAATCTATTTTCTTTTTCTTTTTTGAGACGGAGTTTTGCTTTTTTTGCCCAGGCAGGAGTGCAGTGGCGCGATCTCTGCTCACTGCAACCTCCCCCTCCCGGGTTCAAGCGATTCTCCTGCCTCAGCATCCCAAGTAGCTGGAATTACAGGCATTCACCACCACATCTGGCTAATTTTTTATTTTTAGTAGAGATGGGGTTTCACCATGTCAGTCAGGCTAGTCTTGAACTCCTGACCTCAGATGATCCACCTGCCTTGGCCTCCCGAAGTGCTGGGATTACAGGTGTGAGCCACTATGCCCGGCCCAAATTTTTTTTAAGGTACACACTGTGTGATTTCATCATGCAAAGTTCGAAACTATAATAACAGAGGTCAAGAGACAGCTGCCTTTGGTGCTATTGACAAGGAGGAGCAGGAGTGAGCCTTTTGGGGTGCTGAAAATGCCCTATATCTTGTTATGATGGTAATGATGAGGGGATCTGCATAGGTTCAAATCCATTAATTTCTATGTAAATTCAAGATTTGGGCACCTAGTAAGGTGTAATTTTTACCATATATATGTTTTATATATATATATATATATATATATATATATATATATATATGACAGTAAGTACTATTTATATTATATATGTATAATCCCATCTATTATGTATGATTATGTGCTATAAAGAAAATAGGCCAGGCGTGGTGGCTCATGCCGGTAACCCCAGCATTTTGAGAGGCTGAGATGAATGGATCACCTGAGGTCAGGAGCTCGAGATCAGCCTGACCAACACAGAGAAACCCCCTCTCTACTAAAAATACAAACTTAGGTGGGCATGATGGCATGTACCTGTAATCCCAGCTACTCTGGAGGCTGAGGCAGGAAAATCACTTGAAGCTGAGAGGCAGAGGTTGTAGTGAGCCGATCCTGCCATGGCACTCCAGCCTGGGCATCAAAAGTGAAACTCGTCTCAAAAAAAAAAAAAAGAAGAAAAGAAAAAGAAAATAAAGGCCGGGCACAGTGGCTCACGCCTGTAATCCCAGCACTTTGGGAGGCTGAGATGGGTGGATCACCTGAGGTCAGGAGTTTGAGACCAGCTTGGCCAACATGGTGAAACCCTCTCTCTACTAAAAATACAAAAATTAGCCACCCATGGTGGTACATGCCTGTAGTGCCAGCTACTTGGGAGGCTTGAACCTGGGAGGCAGAGGTCGCAGTGAGCCCAGATCATGCCTTTGCACTGCAGCCTGGGTGACAGAGCAAGACTCCATCTCAAACAAAAAAGGAGAAAGAAAGAAAAAGAAAAGAAGAGCCGGGCGCGGTGGCTCAAGCCTGTAATCCCAGCACTTTGGGAGGCCGAGGCGGGTGGATCACGAGGTCAAGAGATCGAGACCATCCTGGTCAACATGGTGAAACCCCGTCTCTACTAAAAATACGAAAAATTAGCTGGGCATGGTGGCGCGTGCCTGTAATCCCAACTACTCAGGAGGCTGAGGCAGGAGAATTGCCTGAACCCAGGAGGCGGAGGTTGCGGTGAGCCGAGATCGCGCCATTGCACTCCAGCCTGGGTAACAAGAGCGAAACTCCGTCTCAAAAAAAAAAAAAAAAAAAAAAAAAAAAGAAAGAAAGAAAGAAAAGAGAGAGAGAGAGAGAAAGAAAGAAAGAAAAAGAAAGAAAGAAAAAGAAAAGAAAGAAGGAAAGAAGGAAGGAAGGAAGAAAGGGAGGAAGGAAGGAAGGAAAGAGAAAGAAAGAAAGAAAATAAGGCAGGAAAGGAGGACTGGATTGATCATAGCTGCCTCAGGGCCTCCCTTCTTACACGATTACCAGTGACTCCCCCCGGTGCCCCTCCCCTTCCCCATTCTTACTTCCACCTCCCCAGCCTCCTCAGGTCAATTCTTCCCAGAACAGCTAGAGGTGTCTTTTTAAAAAGATATTTCCCATAAAGTCATTCTCTGAATTCAAAGCCATTACAGGGGTTCTGAATCCACACCTGGCCCGGCCCCAGGGCGTTAGTGCTGGCTGGCCCTCTGCCTGGAGGACCCTGTTCTGTGCTCTTTGCCTGGCTGCCTCCCTCTCCTGCCTCCGGCTGAAGCCTTCCTGGACACCAGCAGAGCAGTCCCCATCACCTGGTTGTACTTTATTCACAACACTTACGTCTCCCTGAAATCGTCTTATTTATACATTAAAAAAATCATTTATCGCCAGGCTCGGTGGCACATGCCTGTAGTCCCACTACTCAGGAGGCTGAGATGGGAAGATCCTTTGAGTCCAGGAGTTCTGGGCTGTAGTGTGCTATGCGGATCGGGTGTCCGCACTAAGTTCGGCATCAATATGGTGACCTCCTGGGAGCGGGGAACCACCAGGTTGCCTAAGGAGGAATGAACCGGCCCAGGTTGGAAACAGAGCAGGTCAAAACTCCAGTGCTGATCAGTAGTGGGATCGTGCCTGTGAATAGCCACTGCACTCCAGCCTGGGCAACATAGTGAGACCCTGTCTCTTAAAACAAGTTGCTTTGAGTTGCTGTCAATTTCAATTTCTGTTACTATATTGGTTGTTGGTGAAAATAATAAAATACTTAGTCCTGAAAAAAAAAAGAAAAGAAAAAAAATCATTTATCTCCCCCTGCTAGCACCTCAGCTCTAGGAAACAGATCTGCTCTCATGTTCACTGCTGTATTTCTCAGCCCCTTGGACTAAAGTCCTTATACATTGCAGTCCTTACACTTTGCTATTCCTTGAATATGCCGGCACATTTCCACCCCTAGACCTTTGCCCTGGCTGTTCCCTCCACCTGGAATGTTCTTATTCCAGAGACCTGCCTCCTTTGCCGTTAGGAAGGACCTCCCTTTAGGTCTTTGCTAAAATTTCACATTCTTAGTAAACTCTTCCCTGAGCACCCCATTTAAAACTGCAAACCCTGGCCAGGCGGAGTGGCTCACGCCTGTAATCCAGCACTTTGGGAGGCCAAGGTGGGTGGATTGCTTGAAGTCAGGAATTGAGACCAGCCTGACCAACACAGTAGAACCCCATCTCTACTTAAAATACAAAAAAAAAAAAAAAAAAAAAAAAAAAAAAAAAAAAATTAGCTGGGCGTGGTGGTGGGCAAGTATAATCCCAATACTCAGGAGGCTGAAACAGGGGAATGCTTGAACCCAGGAGGCGGAGGTTGCAGTGAACTGAGATTGCCCCACTGCACTCCAGCCTGGGTGACAAAGCAAGACTTCATCTCAAAACACAAACAAAACACCTGCACACTCTTCTCCCACCACCACTCCCATAGCCCATTTCTTATTTTCCCTTTCCTTGCATGTTTATCCCGAGATAAATACTAACATATTTTACTTCTTTGCCTCGCACACTAGAGTGACAACTCCACGAGGGCAAGGATTTTTATCTTTCTTGCTTACAGCCATATCCCTAAATGTAGAAAAACAATTTACATATAGTAGGTACTCAATAAAATGTGTTGTATGAGTGAATATGTGTCTCCGTTACCACATGTGGGCATGGGCGGGGCGGGGGTCTCTCTCACACTCACCTCTGTGGCAGCAGCACCCGGCACTGCCCTGGCACAGCTCCCAGGACCAGGGTGTTTTCTCTTTCCTCTGAGACATCCTCCATGCAACACTCCCTGCTGCCCCCACTTCTGGACTTCTCCCATGCCAGCCTCCATGCCCACTCACCTCCCCAAACAGTACAGGACAGTAGAGGAGGAGGTGACTGCACTCTCCAGCTTTCTTACCAAAAACTTGTTTGTTGGAGAAAATGAACACCTGGTGAGGACGAAGAGAAAGGAGGGGAGAAGGAGCAGCAGCGGCCACTGGGGTAGCATCATGGACCACAGGTGGTGGTGGCTTTTCCAAGGTCCAGCTAAATAACCTGCACACCGACTGTGTGGGCGTCCTCCGGGCTGTGGGAACACCAAGTAAAACCAGCACCTGACGCTGTCAGAATTTTCCCATCCTGCACAAAGTTCGGGCTAGGCCAATCAGCAAATTCCACCACAAGGTTTAGTTCAGGCAGACTAAGCCAATCCAATCAGGACCAATCTTAGGATGTTTGCTGAGAATTGTGGAACAGAGATGTTTTCTTTCTCTGCAAGGAACAGTATGAATGTACAAGGTGCAGTTAAGAGTCTGGCCTCTGGGGCAGGATTGTCTGGGTTCAAGTCTCAGCTCCAACCCTTACTCTAGGAGCCTCAATAACCTGTTTGTGAAACAGGGATAATTATAACATCTACTATGCACCTGTTGTGACAGAAAGATGAGTCAATACAGTTAAGAAACCACTTTGGGCCAGGCGCAGTGGCGCATGCTCAGAATCCCAGCACTTTGGGAGGCTGAGGCAAGAGGATCACTTGAGTCCAGGAGCTCGAGACCAGCCAGGGTAATATAGTGAGACCCTGTCTCTATTAAAAAAAAAAAAAAAAAAAAGAGAGAGAGAGAGAGAGACAGAGAGAGACCAGGTGAGGTGGCTCATGCCTGTAATCCCAGCACTTTGGGAGGCCAAGGTGGGCAGATCACCTGAGGTCAGGAGTTTGAGGCCAGCCTGAACGACATGGAGAATCCCTGTTTCTACCAATAAAACAAAAATTAGGCCAGACATAGTGGCTCACGCCTGTAATCCAAGCACTTTGGAGGCCAAGACGGACGGATCACCTGAGGTCGGGAGTTCAAGACCAGCCTGACCAACATGGTGAAACCCCCGTCTTAAGGGAAAAAAAAAAAAGTAAAAAACAAAACAAAAAACAAAAATGAGCTGGGCATGGTGGTATATGCCTGTGATCCCAGCTACTCAGCAGTCTGAGGCACGAGAATCACTTGAACCCAGGAGGCAGATGTTGTGGTGAACTGAGATCGAGCCATTGCACTCCAGCCTGGGCAACAAGAGTGAAACTCTGTCTCAAAAAAAAAAAAAAAAAAAAAAAAAGGAAATAAAAAGGAAAAAAATTACCTGGGCATGGTGGCACACACCTGTAGGCCCAGTTACTTGGGAGGCTGACATGGAGGATCCCTTGAGCCCAGGGGCTTGAGGCTGTAGTACTCTGTGATCGAGCCACTGCACTCCACCCTGGATGACAGAGTGACACCCTGCCTCAAATTATTAAATTAAATAAAAAAGAAAGTACTTTGCACAGTTTCTGGAACATAGGAAGTGCTCAGTAAATCCTACCTGTTATTATTAGATGACACCTGGAACTTTTGTGACTAAAGGGAAGGAGTTCAGCCTGAGAGCTGCTGGCTCTGGCCCTACCTGAGGGCTGCCCAACCTCCAGGCTTCCGTTTCTGATCACCAATAAATCCCCTCCTCACCTAGACCAATTTGGGTTGGGTTTTCAGATACTTGCAGCAGAAGAGTCCTCACTGCTACCCCAATGATCATTATGTGACCTAGGGCAAATCAAGTGGCTTCTCTGGGCCTCAGTTTTTTGGCCATGCAGTGGCCAAAATGCCTGAGAGAGCGGAGGCATGGATGCACAGATCCCCTTCCCAGCACAGGCATTTTCGAATTTCTACTGCACACATTCCCACCAGCTCTCTAATGACCTCTACCCTTTTGCTCCCCTCCACCCGCCCGGCAGAACATCCAGATACCTCCACTTAGTCTCTCCCTACACACACCCCTCCGCAGACACCCCAGCATACACACTCCAGGCACATTCCTCAGTCCGGCCTCTTCCACACAGCCCTCCAGCCCCTGCTCTCCCACACCCTCCCTATGCCATTCCCTTCCTGCATTTCTACCCTGAGCTCCGGATAGGGCCAAACCCCACGAGAAGCTCGTTCATGCCTCCAGTCTCCCCTTTTGCCTGCCCCCTAGACTGGTACAATCCCCACTAGCTCCCCTTGCCCAGAAAGTACAGACAGAGGCCAGGGCCAGGAAGTGACTTTAATGTCTCAGGAGCTGGATTTGGAGCAAGTTGGTGGTGCCCAGGGCCTCCGGCCCCAAGGGAGCAGTGACCAGCCTGCATCTTCCTCTAAATCATATGGCACCGGCGGGAACACACCAAGTCCTCGGACGTGCACCTCAAGCCCATTCGGCAAGGGCAGATGATGTTGATGGCTCCCTTGGTCTGCAGGGTGTGGGTAAGAGAACTGGGTGTCACCAGGATGCAGGAAGGCTGGGGACTTCAACTTCTCAGGGACCAGAACCAAGAGTACCAGGGTTGGAGTAGGACCGGCCTGCGCTGTTTCTACAGCTTATAACTGCGTGACCTCCAGTAAGTCAATGAACCTCTCCAGCTCAGTTTCCTCATCTGTCAAATGGGGACAGTAACAGTAACCTACCTCATAGGGTTGTTATGAGGACTAAATGAGATAAAGCAGATCAAGTGGCCATAATAATAACAAGACCCTCTAGGCCGGGCGTGGTGGCTCATACCTGTAATCCCAGCACTTTGGAAGACTGAGGCAGGTGGATCACCTGAGGTCAGGATTTCAAGACCAGCCTGGCCAACATGGTAAAACCCCCTCTCTACTAAGAATAAAAAATTAGCTGGGCGTGGTGGCCCATGCCTGTAATCGCAGCTACTCCACAGGCTGAGGCAGAGGAATCGCTTGAATCTGGGAGGTGGAGGTTGCAGTGAGCCAAGATCATGCCATTGCACTCCAGCCTGGGCAACAGGAGCAAAACCCCATCTCAAAACAACAACAAAACCCTTTAGCCACTTCAGCTGTAGGCCACAGCAGGGGCCCTGCCGCTTCCTTAGGGCATTGGCAACTCCCCACACAGGGACACGGAGGCTGGGCATGGCTAGGCCCATCACCCCAGAAAGGTTTGGGCCCAGGGCCAGGAGAGAAGGAACAGGGGATACTGAGCATTCTGCTCCCTGCATTCCTAGCAGTGAGTGACAACCGTGCTGGACTGCACACCGTCCTTGCCAGGACCACAAAATCTTCCCAACAGCCTGGTGAGGTAGGTACTTTAGCCTCTCCTTGTAGATGAGGAAACTAAGGCTCAGAGAGCCATGATGGCCTGCCAGAGGTTGCAAAGGTAGGGTGTCGAAAGTCAGGATTTAGGCCGGGCGCGGTGGCTCAAGCCTGTAATCCCAGCACTTTGGGAGGCCAAAGCGGGTGGATCACAAGGTCGAGAGATCGAGACCAACCTAGTCAACATGGTAAAACCCCGGCTCTACTAAAAATACAAAAAGTTAGCTGGGCATGGTGGTGCGTGCCTGTAATCCCAGCTACTCAGGAGGCTGAGGCAGGAGAATTGCCTGAACCCAGGAGGCGGAGGTTGCGGTGAGCCGAGATCGCGCCATTGCACTCCAGCCTGGGTAAGAAGAGCGAAACTCCGTCTCAAAAAAAAAAAGAAAGTCAGGATTTAAACTCAGGTCCAACTCCAAAGCTATGGTCCTGCCACTACAGTGCCATGATCCTCTCAAGAAATCATGTCGGCTGGGTGCGGTGGCTCACACCTGTAATCCCAGCACTTTGGGAGGCCAAGTCAAGCAGATCACCTCAGGTTGGGAATTCAAGACCAGCCTGAATAACATGGAGAAACCCCGTCTCTTAAAAAAATAAATAGCTGGGCATGGTGGTGCATGCCTGTAATCTCAGCTACTGTGGAGGCAGAGGCAGGAAAATCGCTTGAACCCAAGAGGTGGAGGTTTCCGTGAGCCGAGATGGCGCCATTGCACTCCAGCCTGGGCAACAAGAATGAAACTCGGTCTCAAAAAATCATGCCCCTGTGTCAGGGAGATGGGGATTAGTAAGGGGAAGGTCATTTCCCACTTACCCTGCCTCAGTGATGTGAAAAAAGAGATACTCATTCATTCAACAAGCATTAATTGGCCGGGCGAGGTAGCTCATGCCTGTGATCCCAGCACCTTGGGAGGCCAAGGCAGGTGAATCACCTGAGGTCAGGAGTTTGAGACCAGCTTGACCAACATGGCAAAACCCCATATCTACCAAAAATATGAAAATTAGCTGGGCATAGTGGTGCATGCCTGTAATCCCAGCTACTTGGGAGGCTGAGACACGAGAATTGCTTGAACCAGGGAGGCAGAGGTTGCAGTGAGTCAAGATTGTGCCATTGCACTCTAGCCTGGGACGGAGCAAGACTCCATCTCAAAACAAACAAATAAACAAAACCAAGCATTTATTGAGCACCTGCTATGTGCAGACACTAAGCTGGGGGTACATGCTTCATAAATGAATATGATGCAATCCCTGCCCTTAAAGAGTTCCAACCACTGGGAGAGGCAGAGAAAAAAACGTGGCCAGTTAGGGAGACACATGCTTTGCTGAGGGTCTGAGCCCAAGATACAGGAGCTCCAAGGAGGGAAGGCTTCTCAGAGGAGGTGGCTGGAGTTGTTTTGAACAATGAGTAGGAGTTTGCCAAGTGGAGAAGGGGAAGGGCACTCCAGGCAGAGGTGAAAAAACAGGTGGGGCCAGGTGTTTTTTTCAACCTCTTCTGCCCACTTCTCTATTTGCCAGAAGACGCTGCCCCACCCCAGAGCCTCACCTGGGGCAAGCAGATCATGGTTATTCTGGCCCTGGGGGCACAGAAGGCTCCACCCGAATCCAAGTCCAGGAGGCAGCAGCCACTGAAGCACTCAGAGTGGTGGAAGCATCTGTCTGTGTTTCTCTGTGGGGACAGGCAGGATGTCTGCCAGGCTGGGGACAATCCTTGAGTTGTGTGGGAGAGGAGGGGAAGGTTCCCACCATTGCCAAAGAACCCAGGGGTCTAGGCGAAGTCATGAGGTTGTCGCCTACGGTCCCTTCCAGCACCCTCCCACCACCACACCCGCCGCACCCCTCCCTCGGCAGGACCCAGGGAGGCAGAGGAGAGGAGAGAGGGATTAGCCTTTCCTTTCCTCGACCCCCTTCACCT